CTGAGGGAACTGGGGTTGTTTAGCCTGGAGAAAAAGAGGCTGAGGGGAGACCTCATTGCTCTCTACAACTACCTGAAAGGAGGTTGTAGCGAGGTGGGTGTTGGTCTCTTCTCCCAAGTAACTGGCGAAAGGACGAGAGGAAATGGCCTCAAGTTGCGCCAGGGGAGGTTTAGATGGGATGCAAGGAAAAATCTCTTTACTGAAAGAGTGGTTAAACATTCTATGATTCTATGATTCTATGACAGGAGAGATATTAAAACCAAAGTTACGGCAGGAACAAATTGCTGCAAGTACAGTGATTTAAATGAAGTTGTTATGCCGGACAATAAGGACATATGTGATTTATTTTTGCTTATCTGTGCTTTTTGTATGTCTCTAAGCATTATAAGCTATGCTTACTGGAAAGGAAGAGACAGCCATGACTACTACACTTCCTGGCTTACGGTAGAGGCTTCATCTCAGATGGTTGCTGACTGCCAAAACCTGGAGTGATCGTGGTGCATCTGTTTTGTTTTTAAGCTTTTCTTAAACCTCCTGTCTTTTACAAAGGATAATTGGTTCACTGGACCTTTGATACAATTCGGTGTACCAATTCTTGTGTTATTTTAGGGTGGCATATGGATATTTTGTTTTACCTGTACATCTTGGCTAGTTTCAAGTGAACCTGAACAGGCCTGTTCTGTATTGATGGTCTGTGAAACCAGATGTAAGAACAGGTAAAGATGTAATCCCAAACCGGATGATAACTCACAGAAGATCTGTGTGTTCCTTTACTTAGAAGGAGAAGGAGGTGACACATGGGAAAAGCCTAAAGCCTTTTGCTTGCAGTTATATTTACTGAATTGGAATAGCAAATTTGAGATTTATTCTTAAACTTTGCTATGCTACATGCTAGTAGTTAATTAATATTTTGCTAGATTTAAATAGCTATTTAAATCTCTTCTAGCAAGGTACATCTAAATTATTCTTCTGGCTATTCAGTACTCTAATAAAATTAGTGGTATATGAAAATAGCTGTTTTTTCATGTTGCCAAATATTTTTGTGTTGACATGAAGTTACTACAGGGAAATTACTGCACACTCAATTCAAAAGCATTGAAGTTGGGTGAACTTTTTGCAAGTTCTGAGGCAAACAGCAAGGCATCCCATATGTTTAATGCCACTCAAAATAGCAGCCAGCATTAACAGAAGATGCCTGACTGCATCCATACAGCCCAGTATTCTGTCTCCCACAGTGGCCAAAGAAGATGTAGTTTAAGCGGAGCTTAGATAAAGCTTTGTGTTAAAGACACTGGGTTTAATATACTTAATCGTCAGTGCAGTGAGAATGAACACATCCGTGGGAAACAGATGACAATAATATTCATGCATCTTCTTATTTTTTTTAGTTTTTAAAGGCATAAGCCCTATTGCCCAAACTACTACCTGTGACCACTTCTCTCTTTTTCTGCCTCTTCTTGCCTGGGGCTGGCTCTATTCTGTAAACCACAAAATAGTATTTTGATCTTTTTAAATGTCTTCTCAAAGTTTACATGCTAATTCAGTCTTTGTGATAACAGCTGATTTCATTGCACAGTCATGGAAGTACTACAGTGGAAAAAGAATTAGTAATTCCCCATGTAGTTGACTTTCTGAGTGCCCATCTTCAGTTAATTTAAAGGCCTGATTCGTTTTAAAGACAGTGCTGACCTGATTTTGTTCAGACTTTTGAACCACTTTCAGATGTTTTGCCTTCACTTAGCTGAGATGAATAAAAGCTGGTGGTGTAAATGGAAGGGTTTCCTATCTCCTTTCCCCTTGACTGGAACCATCCACTTCTTTTGCTATTTATAAAGGCAGTGTACCAGCTTTTGAAAGATGAGCATCTAGGACCTTCTGATCCAAGGGAATTAAAAAGAAATCTGGGAAAGATCTAAAAGTTGCTAGAACTGTAACTCCTTAGATGGTTTTAAGTGTGACATGAAAATAAGACTTCCCTATAGAGAGAAGCAGCCAGTCATGGAGGGAAATGAGTCATTGCAGTGGGGAGAGGAATGACTGCTGTGCTTCTCAGTGCCAATAATGCAGGGGTTTAAAATGTAAAATGAATAGAATTGAACATCACACATTGAAAGACCTTTGAGTTTTCCCATCTCCCTGCTAATGTAGAATTTATTTCCACATTAATTATGTATAAAATTGTGATTCTTACTGTACTGAAAAACTGTTAATGGAAGAAAATTAAAGATGTGTTGAATAGCAGGAAAATGTGTTTTTCTAAGACAATTGAGTGTTGTCTACTCAAAACTATGCATATATAGCATAGCATTTTCTTAGCATTTCTTGACTCGTTGGTAATTTTAAGTATCCGTCAAAGTTTCTTAGTGGCATTTACTTCTCTGGTCCTAATATCAGGGAGGCAAGAAAAAGAAAGGTTATATTTTTCTTGCATTGTACTTGGTAATTTTGGTAATTGCAGTTTTTTTACTTCCTGGTCCCTCTAGAAATATAGCAAGCTCCCTTGTGCAGAAAAGACAGATTGCTATCTTTTTACTTGACTGCACCTATGGTTTTGACTTGTGTGCCCTACAGGAATGCTGAGGATTCTAAGGACAGGAAAAATAAAGAAAATTGTGCACTGACCTAATTCACACTGATAAAGCAGATGCTTAAAAATCTGAGAGAATCTTCTCAAAGAAGAGTACGGTGATATATGTCTGGTTGTTCTCATCTTTATCTGTATTTTTCTTTATCAGTGCTCTAATAATACTGAGGGAAGTGTAATTTAAGCGTGAGACATTGACTGTAACATACCATAGGCACACGTTGTTCTAATTTTACATTTCTTATCATAGCCTTTAACAACATCACACTCATTTTAACAAGCATTTAGCATGTCATTTAATAATAAGTGGGCAGTGGCACAAGGGCAAAACTCAGCAGCTTAAATTCTGGGTTTTGAGGTCCGAATTTGTTAATTCATTTCTGATTGTAAGGCCTATGTGAAAAGATAAATCTCATGCTGTTTCTGAAGGATTTAAAAATTCTGACCTCTCCTCCCCCAAGAGAGGAACTGGATATCAGAATAAATGAATGTTATGAATTGACTCAACACCAGAGGTGGTCAGTGTTCATCCCTTAAAAAAAATCATCCTTTTTGTTAAGCAGAGTCACTTAGAGCCTATTAAAATGCAATAGAAGAGCTAACTGCATGTGAAAATCTTGGCCCAGAGCTCAAGTTAGTTCTCTGTGCCGCCAGACTGGGAGCCAGGCAGAGCACACAGTGTTGCGCATTCGCCAAAGGAACGGAGAAGGATGCTCTGGGGAGATCATCGGTTCATTTGTGTGACCGATCCCTCACAACATTGAAATGCCATTACTTGGCCTTTTCACCTACTGGGTAAAGTTAAATTTTATAACTTCAAAACCTAAATGGAGTCCAGGTGTTTTAATCATGACTAGTCAGTGTCTGTGGCTTTCTTAACCATCCAAGTCCTTTCTATGATCCAAAAGAATGTATACTTACTGAAAAAGCTGAAGGTCATTTATTTATAGGCAGCACTATGCGAAGCTGTGGGTAAGAGAAAAATTGATTTGGCTCTTAGGAGAACTAAATCAGCTTATTCACTTAATAAAAATAACAATTGTAAGTGACCTGCTGTGTAAAGATTGTTTTTAGAGTTAACATCCTACTGGGTCACAAAGCCTTGTTGCATGGGTATGTGTAATGTAATTGTTTCTCTGCAGTCATTCCAAGATGATGAGCATTTTAAACATCTCTTAAAAAGCCAACCCCTGGAGTATGTTCATAAGATTGTGATGAAAGTATCATCAGCATATACAGTATCTGTAAAACAAGGTTGGTGGAGATACACCACCTCCATTAGGTGGTATCTGTTTGTAGTACCTCTTGGAGGAGGTGTGAGATGGAGAGCTTTTATTATTCACATTGAAAGGATATCTCAGCAAGTCATCGATGTGCAATAATAAAATACTAAATGATACAGTTTTCTGGGGAGACGAGGTTGGTTGTTTGCTTACATTTGCCAGGTAAATTCATTCCTGTGTCTCCAGCGTTGACAAATAGAAAGTCTTGAACTGCTCTGCGTAATTCTTTCTAATATTAATCATCTTGACAAAGTGAATTCCTGTCTATATGCTAGTGAAAACAAGAGGTAATATGAAAAGTAATAGCTATTCCTTTCAAATGTCTGCCTTTTCTTGGTTTACCAGACTTACGTACATTTTTACATGTTATTACTTCTCTAGCCAATCTATCTCCAGCAATGAAGTCTGCTATATTGTTAGGCTGCAAAAGTAGCCAAGTCAAATAATGTTCCCAACTCCTTTGCTATTAAACCCTTTTTTCGGATTACACGGGGTTTTGACTCTGCACTGGACCTTAGGCTGTATTATATATGAAATAATGTAAGGAGAGATCTGGTAGGCTGTCAAATAATTTGTATTCTTGTTGCAGTTTCTGAGACCAATTGCAGGGATGAGCCAGCTCATACCCAGAGCAGAATGATATTGTTGGCAGAAGAATAATTAAGTTGCAGCCCATCTATGTCTCCTGTGTGTGTCACACATTTCCATTTCTATGAAACAAGTCTGTTATAAATGCATATAGTGCCAAGTGTCTGGCCTAAATTACATGTCCTTTCTTTGTAGCATTTCAGACCTTCCTTGGGAAAGATGACGTGTCTCATGAAGTAGAAGAAGTTTTGGCAGAGTCTCGAGTCCAAAGAAACACCAAGTTAGTGTCAGTACTTCAGCTCCTGAGAACCCACGCTGTGCGATGGCAGGTCATTACCGTGGTTGTCACCATGGGCTGCTATCAGCTCTGTGGACTAAATGCTGTAAGTGTCCTTCTTCAGGCTATGGCATCTCCTGGGGTGCTCCTTTTTTTCTTTTTAATACAAGGTTTGTGCTATACCATTCAGCAACCTCTATAACTTTCTGCTTTTGGCTGTTTCTTATTAGTAATGGTTTTGGTACACCAGCATGTGGGAAGGTCCATGGGGAGTTGTATCATTTGGGGTTTTTTTAAACAAAAAAGTGGGGGAAGCCATGTTTTGTTAACTTTGAAGGAACACATGAAAATGTAGCACAGATCAG